CGGTGCTGTGGAACAGCTTACCTACCAATCTGCGGCAAGCACAAACTCTTGCTAGTTTTAAATCCGACTGTAGGGGTTTCCTTTTTCAGAATAAATAAGTTAATTAATCACACGGCATTCGTGGAAAGCAGGCACTTCGTTATTGTTTTATTTTTGTTGTTACTAGATTTAATTAGTAGTAGATTAGTATCTTAACAATGTAATTAATGCAATTTTAGTATTTAAGTCCTGATGTTTTACCCGTGTATAAATAAAGTTAAACAAATAAATAAAAGTGTACCCATAAGTCTTTTTTATTATTAGTCTATCATTTAGTGGGGCCCATTTGAAAACATGTTGAATTTGCATACATAAGTTATTATTATTAGTGTTATTATAATTATGATTATGATTATGATTATGGTTATGATTATGATCATCATCATTATCAAGGTGAAAAATGTTTGACTACCATACGTTGTTACCTTCCTTGTAACATATCCTTTTTTTTGCAAGCACAGGCACCAGTGGGTTAAGGCAGGGTTCTACCTGAATGAAAGTGAAATTTTAGGAAGGTTAAAGAGGGATTAAAAGGAAAAAAAAGGTTATGGAACACCATCAGACAGTTGAACGTCCCCAAAAGGGCACCCCAGGTTGGTGGACAACTGTTTGATGTATACCTACCAATTTTTAACTTCAGGTTCTAATTTTAAAACAACAACAAATCTTCAAAATTTCCTATTTCCATAAATTTTACTAATCCTTTGAGAAAAACTATTTATCTCCAAATATACCTAAAAATCACCAAAAAAATTACAAAACAGCCCAAAACATAGATATGTGGGATGAACAGAGAGATTCTTGACTGCCTGAAATGTAAATGATATTATTTGCATTAAAACCATAATACCCAGCCAAAATATGGCCTTTATGTAGACCCCCGCCTCAAAAGAAGCGAATAATAGTGATACTGTCCATAAGGTTAATCTTTTTCTCAGGAACTTTCTTCGTTCATTTGGATGTTCATTTTTGCAAACTTATGGTTTGGTCGCCTTCAAAACTCCTCACCCTTTCAGTATAAAAATCTCACAACTGTCAGTAGAAAAAAGTTTGACCAATTATTGTGAAGTGAAAGCTGTAGAGGAGTGGTTCCACATGGTGATGCTTATCTCATGTATGTGCTCTACTACACGTTTCCAAGTCCATTGGTGCTTGCCATTATGCTAGACCGAACAGTCAGAGATAGACCAGTGGGGCTAACCAAGAAAAAGTGATAACATTTTCCAATCAAACTGGGCCAACCAAGAGGAATGGTTCATTCCATTTTCTATTCTTTTCCCAAATCCAGGGCAGTAAACCCATTTGTCAACATGGAACAGCAAATTTTGTTTGCAAGGTAGTCCTGAATATTCCACCTCCATAGGT